GAAGTGACAAAAGTATCATCATCATCATCATCATCATCATCATCATCGTCGTCGTCGTCGTCGTCGTCGTCGTAACTAGCAGTAACAGAAACAGCTAACCTAACCACACTTTACATGGATTTTGCTGGTTGTGTAACTGTTTCGCCGGCTAGGTCAGTCGGTTGCGCGTCAGATTGGCACGCAGGCGGCCTGGGTTCGATTCCCGGGCGGGCCAGATACTTTCGTGGAGATTGGTCACGAAATGATTTCCACGGCCATTCTTCCCCTACCGCTGTTTCAAGTAGGGCAGTTGTCAATTACTGGCGAATGTATCTGCTTAGTACTGGTTACTAAGTACTAGTACTCTAAGACTAGAGACATGCTTGCTCCAGGTAACTCTGTAAAAGTTTGAGGATTATCGCATTTTGGTTATGTTCATAGAGTGTGAACTTGTAAGGGTAAAGGTAGGCGAGCAAATCCATGAAGCGCGCCAGCGCTTCTTGGAAAATTTGATCGTTTAATACCCCTCGGTATTAATGCTTATATTTCAATACATTTTAATAATAATTGGTAGGTTTTGTCCAGATATGATTGCTGATGATGATGATAACAAACGTATTTTGATGATTATGACAGCGATGTTTATCGGTCGATGATGATTATTATAATGATGATGATTATGATGACAAATGTGTTTTGATGATGCTGACGGCGATTTTTATCGGTAGATTATGATGATGATGATGTGCTGACCGTCGTTATCATCATTACAAAACTTTTGTCATCATCATCACCATCGACCGAAAAACATCGCAGTTATCATCATCACATTTTTGTGATCTTCATTACGATGATGATAATGGTGATGATGATGATGGTGTTGATGATGATGATGACCTTGATGATTGTGGTGATAATGATGGTGATGATGATGACAATGATGATAAAAGTTTGTGATGATGATGATGACGGTAATTTTGATCGTCGTCATCATCATCAAAACTTTTGTCATCATCATGACGATGATGATGATAATGGCGTTAATGGTGACGATGATGATGATGGTGTTAATGGTGACTATGATGATGTAATTGATGATGATGACAATGGTGATGATGATTGGGGTTTGATGATTGTGATGATGATAACTGCGATGTTTATCGGCCGATGATAATGATTATAATGATGATGATGAAAAAAGTTTTTTATTATGTTGACGCCAATGATTACCGGCCGCCGATGATGATGATTATGATGATGATGCTGATGATGATGATGATGATGATGATGACGATGACGATGATGATGGTGATGATGATGATGATGATGATGATGATGATGATGATGAGATGACGATGATGATTATTTTCATGATGGTATTGATGACGTTGATGCAAATTGTAGTTATGATGATGATGATGATGATGATGATGGTGATGATGATGATGATGATGATGATGATGATGATAATGATAATGATGGTGATGATGATGAGATAACGATGATGATGATGATGATGATGATGACGATGATGAGTGTGTACCATATTCGGAACGAATGTGGTACATTTTTCATCCGAATATGGTACAAGTTTGTACCATATTTGGTCAGGCATTTTACCCCAAAACTGCAGATACGTATATGGTACAATTAGACAGTTGTACCATATTCGGCCGAATATGGTACAAATTTGTACCATATTCGTTTTTGTACCAAATACGGTCCGACACATATTTATTAATAACAATCCAATTATAAAATATCACAGCAAAGATTTATATATCATATACAATGTTCTCGAGAATTACGCCATTTTCTTCACCTCAGTTGTTAATTACAAGTTAATTACTCAGTTGTTTGGGGGTAAGGAATTATAATGCCTTCTGACATTGCTACTAGGTGACATGGTATTTGTACCATATACAGGAACAGCTCATGATTGTCTAGAAATCAAAACTGAGTTAGTTTTGAATCAGTATTACTTTTCCTTGTCATCGCTTATAGCTCCGTACTCTAAGCAGAGTCTTATAAACGTGACCGTCATATGGCTGAGGTTATAATTATTGAATTATAAAGAAAAATAAATCTCAACTTTAAAAGATGTAAAATGTTTCATCGTGTCAGTTACGTCAGCCACGACTTATAACCATATGGTAAACACCACTCAAGTCCTTAAACTATAAAAAAAAATCGTTCCAGACTGTGGCAGCTCAAGATGTATTATTTCACAGCATAGTTTAGACAGCTATAACTGCTTGATAAGCTTCTAATATTTTGGTCCAAAACTCATGAAACTTTATCTAGAAAAAAACTCAAAATGTTCGCAGATGTTGAACTTGAAATACACTTGCTTATTCAAATTTGTAAATATTGTTATTGACATATCCACACAGAAATTGTTGGTAAACTTCTTCATAGAAAGGTTAAAATCAAAATTTTTTAACCCTCATTCGAAAAGACGCATTCCTCTTGATCCGGGTATAATTAATGTTTTTGATACCGATTATGAACAATATTTAAATCTCTGAATGACTGTAAATAATTTTTTTTAAAAGGAAGGAAAAAATAATTATTAGTTTAAGCGTTTGCGTTTAAACTATTTATTTTTACACACTACGTCGAAGTATTTTTATAACACCATGTAAATATGGCACCTCCTCCGAACATGTCATTTAGTCTTGTTCGTGCATGCCCAGTAGACTGGGTATATATAAATCGAGCGCCCTCCTGCAATATTCTTCTTCTCACTTCCCCTCGGAGCGTGCACGCCGCTGAGAAGGCACAAGGCATCGGCAGAAGATTCACAGCTTGGCGGATAGTATACTAATAAATTTATGTACCCGTTATGGTTTAGCGGGACTGTTACTTCGTCAACAACTGCGGACCAGCTGCCGGTGTCCTGACTTATGCCGAGGGGAGTGGCCCTACAAAGTAGGCTTATTGTCGACAAAGATGGTGTGCTAGGGTGCGTGAGCCCCTAGCACGGTTAGACGGCTTGAACGGCAGGCCTTTTGCTGGCACCAACAACCCTTTCCAGGGGTACCCTTTCATATTGTCTCAGGTTACTGTACATTTAGGTTTTCATTGACCACCGTACAGTGACCTACGTTTGGCTCAAAATTCATATCTTTGGCTAATACTCCGTGGAAATTGCATCGAGGTAAGTTATCACCACTTTGTGCTTCAAAACATGACTGGTGGCATGTCCGGGGTCCCCGTACTCGACAGCGAAAGCTATATTTGTGCCATTACGGGCGAATGGTCCCTAAATATATAGGCATTTACTACATGCAAACATACATGCAATATTCTTATTGATCCAGTTTCTTAGGCTCTGAAGATGCCATGAACAAAAACGGAATAAAACCACCATACCTTCACATTTGCTTTGCTGTTTATTTCTTCTTTAGGTATGAATACCCGCCGCAAGTACTAAGCACTTCTTCGTTATGACTGACATTAGCATTTCAAGAGTTAAAATGGGTTTCACGGCATTTGGAAGCTTAATTTACCGACGTCGATTGCCAGACAATTATCATTTGAATCCGACGATGATTCAAACACAAATTTAACTGGCTAGTGTAAAAACATAGCAAACTTTCATTTCGGACAAATATGGGAGGATAGCATATAATTGACTTCAACAATCGATAACTTTCTGTCGATAATTTTTGTAGATTTAATCTTTGATTATGTTATATGTAACCGGTGACAAAACCAAACACTTTTTTTATAATGAACTTATTCCATCCGAAAATAAAACAAATCTATTTATTAGTTATATTCCGAAGAATTTATGTTGCTCTTTTTCTTCCAATAAGCGAAAATCTAACATAAAATAATAGGTTTCGGCAATTGGTGACGGAGAAAAACCTATTCTATAATATTATATGAAAGCAGGCTAAAATATTATAACCTTGAGGAACTCAAGAAGTTACAAGCCTACTATTGGAAATGGTACTACTTTTGTTCTTGTTAGAAAAGATTTTAAAATATGGACACTAATATTAACTGAAAAATGAAAAAAGGTTTTTTTTTGTATTTTTGTTTTTGTTTTTCTTAATATACAACAAAACGCGCGTTATACAAGCTGATTGTCAAAACGTTTTGGGTACATTTAATTTGACATTTTATTTTGAAACAATGAGATTGTTTTCCTCGATGTAGTAAAGTGCAGTATATATCTACTACATGTATATATTTCATCTTCGGCCGTCTGTCTGATCTGGCTCTAAAATGCTATAAGGTCCTCCCTGTATTTCTGAAATATGTGGATTATCAAATAAAGCGTGAATATCTTCAATGATCCTTCATCAAATAAAGCAGAACAATTGTTTTCGTCCACGTGATATACATGCCAATAATTCCAGATAGATGACTTTTTATTAGCTTCTCCTTGCGAGTCGTAAGCTTTCTGAGAATAATTGCCAATTATCTAATATATAACTTCGCGTGTGGTGATTCTAATACTAAAATAATAATTATTACAAAGAATTGAGGTGACGTTTGGTTCTGCGAAAACTACTTATTATTTTGATGTTTGTTTGTATGGGTTTTTGCATTTTACGTTACGTGCTTTAACTGTAAATACCAATATCAAGATAAAGGACACATGATGGCAATTGACAAACCTTTGTCTAAAAAGTTTCAAAAAAAATACAAGCAGATGTTGAAATTAATATAAAGAATATGTCATATCTAAATTACGGGTATTATATAAATAATCAATTTAATTGCTTCCAACAGAAGGCAAATATCAAAATCGTAACCTTTTCCCAGACGGAAACATTTGTACATTTTCTTTAAGCATTCTGCTTCTTAAATGATCCTTATCAGCACTCAAATATAATATAACATAATTCACAGCAATAATTCAGCTAAGATATTTATCCGTATTCAGATCTGCTACACTAAATTTAAAAACGCGGCATTCAGCTATCCAATTCATCTTTGTTATATCTTTTCAAATGTACACACCACCTTTACAGACAAAGGGAAGCAATTCAAATATATTCAATAAATTCAAACCAGACATTTATTACAGATATACAAACACATCAAGCAATGCTAATGTTGAACACAAATAAAACTTACAGCATGATTTATTTTGAGGTTGTACAAAATAGAATTATCAGGTATGTTTATGGTCTTTATTGTATAATGTATAGTTATACAAGTACACACAAGCAGACAAAATTAAACTTGTGGTGGCTGCACCTCAAACAATGCTGTTGTGTTGAGTTGAACGAAAGTTCTGAAAAAAGAAAAGAAAACACAAACTTAATATTATTATGAAACAATATCTCGCTTATTTTCGTAAAGAATGCCTGCTGAAGACATTTTTTTCAATATGTTACTGCATTTTGTTCAGAATACTTGAAAGTTCGATAATAACCCTCGTATGAACACATCTGCGGATGTTTCTTAATTCAAAGTTCACTATTTTCGTGTCTCTGCTTCAGCCGGTGAAAGTGAGCGTGGACCGTAACTTGCACTTTCCAATACTGTCTATAAACAGGCTCAATCAAACCGAGCCTGCAACATTTTCAATTTTATCGTTTTTCTCTATTTAAAGAGGCCTTTGCCGGCTTACAATACATACTACTATTCAATTTCTAAGATTATCTTTTAAATCTATTTGTAAAGGGCCGGGTACGCGTTATTGCACTATGTTATGACTTTTTTACCGTTACATATAAAAAAGAAGCCGGTTTTAGATGCATCCAGGTTAAAACGATGTACGACGTACATTTACAACAACAAACAAAACAGCCATCCACAAAACACTGTTCTTGGTATTGCTTTAAATACATTGAAAACGTGTAGCATTAAGGTCTAATGTAGAATGACATAATATTCCGCTACCATGATTGCCGCTTACAGACTTATAGCTACCAAATTGATATAGGACTCTTTTAAAATGGAATGTGAAATATTTAGTCATATATTTTAGGAGGCTTAGGGCTTAGCAGGGATGGCTTTAAAATGTTGCCTATCTAGCTTTATGGAGTAATTTCAATAGCAAATTGTATGCTGCAACTGAATTGTGTTGCCATCGCCGACCGAAAGACTGGAATACATGTTATACCATGCAAGAAAGACACAGACGTCCTTTGACGGTAAGAATTATAAAAATCACAATATGACTTTGTATGTTTAAGAAGCTATGCGTCTTACCTATCAAAAGCGTCTAATGGTCCTGATTCGTACGTCCCTCTTGCATTTGCGATGTAGACCTGATTGTTGGAAAGGTCATACACTGCAATATGTAGACTTCCGGATTGCTCGATTGAAACTACGTCACGGATAACTACATCCGGTGACAGGTTACCATGGTGTTTAGTTAGTTGACGGGCTAGAACCTCGCTAAATCCAGGACACAACCAGTCCATTCCTGTAACACAGTAAAAGACACTTTTAAGGTGATACATTTTGTTTCTGAAAATTATATATTCATCTAGAGATGCACTGCTTTAAAGTTATGATACAAAATAATTATAATTTATATCATACAAGATCGTGTAATTACCGTAATAAACGATGTCTTTCACTTTTGGGTGCCAGGATGCCTCTGGTTCCATATCCGTGTCTGTGTAAAAGTTGGGGCCCCAGACCCGGAGTATTTTAAAAGCCAAAGAAAATTGGGGGTTCTTTTAAAAATTTAAAATTTTGTTTGTATTAAATTTCCCCTAATACCCTATTTTACAAACAAAAGGGTTTCCGGGTATAAAATGTGTCATATCGTTTTTTAAATTTAAAAATTTAAATTCATTAAAAAATTTAACCCGATTGTTTTAATTCCCGGGCCCTTTTTTTTATATTTGTACTTTCCCAAAAAATTAAAACCATGTGAAAATATATGAAAAAACCCTTTTATAATTCCCGCACACAAAATTTTTGAAAAAAATTTTGTACAAGGATTATAATTTTAGAAAAAAAAATATATACACATCATTTTGGCGTTTCATAAATCAGACAGTTTGTCACCGACGAAAAATAATTTGCTCTTACAAACAATTTATGTTAAAAATTCTGTAAAGACTGCCAAGACAAAGAAGTAAATGTACTACAGAAAATGCACAAATGAACTCAAATTCTGCCATCAGTCCTTGTAAATCTTGTTGCTGTTCTTTAAATCAGTTAAAACTAATATATTTGCAAAACGATTTGGCAATTTAAATTTCTGTTAATTTGCACCTTTATTACAGGTGTTATTGATTAAAAGAAAAGAACAACGTTATTGTGACATTGCGTTGGTAATGCTACAATTGTAAAACACTGAATAATTCGAATCATCAAGAACATCAAGAATATTGTAAGGGACTATGAATATCTATCAAATAATTTACTTTCAGGACCTTGTAATGAATATATCAGTTTAAAACAAACTATGTGTTATGACAATTTGAACATCAAACTAGCATAATTTATTGACAAGTGAGGTAATACTGTTCAGTCAATGCTTAAAAACTTACCTGCCAGGAATCCTGAACTTTACCTGTCAGGATTCCTGAACTTGCCTCAGCCATTCATATTTGCTGATTTTATTTGTTTAGATAATTTTCTGGTAAAGGAAGGAATTAAGACCATGATATAGGACATTCTGAGGCTCTAGGACTTTATAAGGCACTATAAGGAGGTTTATACTTCAAGACATGATTTATTTACTTACTTTGTTTATCCTGGCATCAAAATGGCCGACAAGAGTTGTCTACCTTGATTCAAAACTTAAAATGACCTAATTTTCATAAACATATACAAATACTTACCATTTTACATGTAAGAACAAAGAATGTAATCTTTATTTACCTAAGACTTAAGTTAATTTCCAAATATTTAGCTGGCATTGCTGTATTTCATAATAATGTTGATGACCAGTATGACCTCTAAGTTTGTCAGGAGGGAAAATTCAAATTCCTGGCACTTGGAATCTTTTTATATCAATAGTTCATTTTTCTAAGCTATAACCATGATTGTTTTTGGTACAGATATTAAGTGCATCAAGTTAGGCATGTAATCCAAGTGTTTATTGCATATTTTGTTATTTGTTCACTTTGTTAATTTACATTTTCTAAATTATTCCTGTCAATATGGCTGCCATTTTAAGAAATCCCTGCCTTTCCTGCCAGACTGCCAGGCCAAATGGAATGTTATGATTGGTCAATTGTGACAGTCCTGGCTATTTCAGAGTCTATGTAAGTAGCCATGGCAGGCTGTTTTCGGTTTGCATTTTGGCTTTAAATCCTGACAGTCGCGAAAACTAGTGACAAGAGCATTTTGTAATATTTTCATGGAAACTTTTATTGTTGAATCTAGCAAATTTAGTGCTCTTCAGAGTTGAATAAAGAAATTGTAGAATAAATCTTTTATCAATAAAAGTTGTTATTTGAACAGTTTTTGACTTAGCTTACAATATGATACTAAATATACTAATACAACAATAGCAAAAGTTCGTAAAGTTGTTTTCACCTTAGCGTCGCCCACACCAAGGATAAGATCACATGTTCGATGGGCGTTCTTCATTCTGTGCATAGCGTCAGAGAGTGAACTGTCAAACTGTAGCACATCCCGTAATATGTACTGAAAATAAGGGCACAAAATAGATGAAAATATAAATTATTGAAACCTCTTACAATGGTTTTATATTATTGACTTTTATTGCTGGAAATTTTGATTGGTCTCTTATAAATTTAAGAGGTTCTTGTAAGAAAGATACCAAAATACCCGAGCAAGAAAAACAAAGTGCACCTAGACCTAGATTCTCCTGGCTGTTAACTGTTTCATATCAATGGCACAACAAAGCTCTCTCTAGTTGGCATATAACACTTAACTTGAAAAACACATATTTGTAAATTGTAAATAAGACAATGTGCCATTATTGACCGAGATCAAATTAAAGATGATTTAAAAAAAACATGATGTGTAATACTGAACGTCAATGCTGGAATGACTTGAGAGGCACAGTTGTCAATTTGTGACACTGTCTGATTACAGATTTAGGGGTCAAAAGTTCGACCGTACTCTTCTCCAATAATAATAATAATTAAAAAATTATAATAATTAATACACAAACAATCTTCTGGAGTAGTTGTCCACCTGAGTTTTCGTTGTGGAATAGAAGTGTTTAACATATTTCACACACGGTTTATTGATAAGGTTTTGTCAAGTTGCACTAAAATATAAAGAAAACAAAATTTGATAAATGAAAAAAAAAATAAATAAAGAAGTAAAATAAAAATTATTTAAAAGGAAGTGATTATAAATCATACCGTAAAAGGAATACCAAATCTAGACTCCGATCCGAAGGAAGCGTCAGGGAATGATACACCAATCTCAGATATAGCCATTTGTTTGGAGTTAAAACCTGGAGTTGACAAAATAGCAATATTCTCTATTAATTTTATACAGCTGAAATTTAACACTTCAAAACAATATCAATGTCTCCAGTTATGATGAACTGAAACGCGAGATTCGTTAAAAATTGCCAATTGTTTGTTTTGTTTTTTTCTTTAAAGTTATTAACGTTTTAAGATATGTTTAGTACTGCAGACATAAATCCTTATGATTTTTTTGAATTGAATGATATAAGTTGATTCTTCATATTAAAAATGTGTCTATGCTTGTTCGACTGATCATTCCTCGAGCGTATCATAAAGGTCTTTCATTAACACTACTACTATGTGTTACACTTGAAGCACCCAGTCAACTAATTATAACAACTGTAAGCTTTACCACATTCTATTTTTATTGCATATTCTTGAACCATATAAATAGTGTTATGTAAAAGGTTTTGTACCTGTGATGGAGCCGAACCAGCCCGTCCAGCCTATATTAGCGAAGGCGTGTCCATATTTTGGATCCGACGGGTGATACACAGTTACTTGAGGGAAATCTTTGAAAGGTCCTGATAAATACAATCAACAGCATGAAACATTAAGGTTTCTTTGTTCGGTTTTACGGTGCACTAACAAAGTTTAGGTCATATTAAGTATAGTATAGCTACAGGTCCAGATCAACTCCCAGCAAGACTTCTAAAGGAAGCAGCTACAGAACTTACTCCTGTATTTACACTGTTCTTCCAGGCATCTGTGGACCAAGGAATCATCCCTGACGACTGGAAAACGGCCAACGTGGTACCAATTTTCAAGAAGGGCGACCGCAGTAAAGCAGAGAACTACAGACCTGTCTCTCTTACTTCCATAGCATGTAAGGCACTTGAGCACATCGTTACAAGCACCATTATGAAACACCTTGACACCTACAACATACTTACAGATGCCCAACATGGATTTTCGTAAACGCAGATCCTGTGAGACTCAACTTTTTACTGACAGTCCAGGACCTTGCTCGCAATATGGACTCTGCTGGTCAGACTGATGTCATTTTATAGATTTTTCCAAAGCTTTCGACAAGGTCCCACACCACCGATTACTTACAAAACTTCAATTCTATGGTATACGAAACAACCTACTAAAGTGGATAAACAGCTTCCTAGGGGATCGGAGCCAGAGTGTGTTACTAGACGGCAGCAAATCAGGTGAAGCCACCTGTCCAGTCAGGTGTCCCACAAGGCAGTGTTCTAGGACCTCTCTTATTTCTCATCTTCATTAATGATCTACCCAACTATGTATCACCTGAATCCACCACTAGAATGTTTTGCTGACGACTGTGCCCTTTACCGCTCTATCCACTCAGACCAAGATGCTATAGCCCTACAAAAAGACCTAGATGGACTACAAAGATGGGAAAGGGATTGGTTGATGGAATTCCACCCTCAAAAAATGCCAGATACTCCAACATAACAAACAAGAGAAAACCAATCAGACAACCATATAACATCCATGGACACATCTTAGAAGAAGTAGATACAGCAAAATATTTAGGCCTCAACTTCCAAAAGTCACTAAACTGGAACCAATCACATTGATCTAACTACAAAGAAAAGCCAACAATGCCACATCCTTTCTACAGAGAAACATCAATCAATGCCCAAGAAGGACCAAAGAGCTCTGCTATATGACCCTCGTGAGACCTCTGGTGGAATACTCCTCTATCATCTGGGACCCTTTCACTGAGGCAAATATCTGGAAACTGGAGATGGTGCAGCGCCGAGCAGCAAGAATGGTCTTTCTCAGACTACAGAAGAACCAGCAGTGTGACATCGATGCTGCAACACCTACAGTGGCCTACCCTCCGAGAACGCAGAGCCCATGCCAAGGTGACCATGATGTACCGTATAGTAAATGGCCTAGTAGAAGTCCCTACATCCAACCTCACCCCAGTCATCTCTGTTCGAGGACATGGACTTCACTACCTGGTACCATTTGCAAGGACCCAGTGCTACCAGCGATCCTTCTTCCCAGACACCATCCGCCTCTGGAACAGTCTTCCCCAGACAGTTGTAAGTTGTACAACCATAGACAGCTTCAAGAGGGAAGTACTCCCACTCACTCTCCGATAGACAGTCCGGTGTTTTTACCTTTTTACCAGCACTATACATAGTACTTTTTTAAATCACTCTTGTACATAGACACTTCTCACACCGCGCTGCGCTAGTACGAGTATACGCCGGAAGGTGTCTGTACTATATTGGAAGAAGAAGTATATAAAAGGCAAATATTGCCCAAATCTAAGTAAAGAGTCATTTAGTTAAATAAGACCTAAGAAAAATGTTCCGTAGGAGACATAAAGGCAATGGGTACAGAAAAAGAATTACATGTTTGATGTTCTCATATCAGACGACAGTTTGTAATGTCCTTTTTAAGCGGAAATTATTTCCCTGTATTAGTAAAGAATAGAAGTCGCCATATAACATTACATTTAAAGTCAATTACCGTCTGTATTCCAGTCTAGAGCACGAAGCTGCAGTAGGGAACCAGGCTGTTTCACAGCAGAGCCCCAAGCACCTACCATTGAACAATCACCTTTCCTGTAAATAAAATCTGTATTTTTGGTGTTAGCGCCACTGATGGAAGAAGTTTTTTGCGGGGACGTTTTGTAATAAAATATGGTGTATAGGGAAACAGTCCGGCGACTTTATCGTCGATCATATTTTAAGACATCAACTTTAGTAAATTCACGGTAATAAGATAGGTTTTTTTCGCAATTCACATGTCTTTAGTATTATAACTTGTCTTAAAAAGACATTCAAACTCTGAAACTGAATAAATTCTATTGTTGTTTTTGTGTTCTTGTTGTTATTGTTTTGTATTTTTGCTGTAGGATGTTTGTTTTCATATTGACTTCAGGTAAATTTACAGGTCATTCGCCATCCTATTCACGGTTTTTTTTCAGAATCATTACATGAATTATTTTGTTGTGACATTACTACTTATTAGAATATATGACAAATATTACTTGTTTTAGCTATTGCGAATAATTACAGTTAGACTGATATAAAAATAAAACCATCTTACGTTAACTCTCCAATCATATGAATTCTCAATATCATCTGTAATGACATAAAATACTGAACAATAGGACAGAGTTGTGAAGCAAATTATCATTAATATATATTCAGTAATTTATGGTGGCTGATTTGTGCCATGTCGAATTTTTGCTCCGCGGGGCGTCACGCGAAAACACGACACATTGATCACGGTCTAGCACTCCGCGAAGCGAAAGCCGTAAACACTGTGTTGTATTTTCGTGTTTTTACCTCACATCCCGCGGAAGTGAAAATACGACACGGCATGAATCACCCACCTTAGTAACTTGTCAATAGATGCTGACTATTTATTCCACAAAAATATGATTCACATTATAAACTATTTTAAACTACTTTTGGCTAGGATGAAATACCTTGATATATATGATAATAGTTTACAGATGATCCTCTACAAACCCACGAGACTTCAAGAGAATAATCATTCTAAACTTAAACTGAACAGACAGATATATTTTAACGACGATACTTTATACTAAAATGGGATAATATAACTAAAGCTAAATTCCTTTTTAATGCAAAGTACATGTCTTATAATAATTAACTCGTCATTTGTATGTATCAAGACTATGTAAGTAAAAAAGAAGGGATTGTCAGTCATGTTCTAAAATAACATCGGGAACTTTTACCTTATAATCAAGGCCCGTGGCATCTGCCAGACCTTTGGCCTCCTGAAAAAAATATTCTCCTGTGAAAGGTCTTGTAACATCTATTTCTGCATCAAGCGCAACATCAAGGCTGAAAATATGTTTTAAAAACAATGTTCCATTGAATAGGTATATATATGTTTTTAAAATTTGTTGAATCTGTATTATCGTTAAGACATATACATTAATTATTATATTAAGTATATAAGTACATATGGACTGGCTATATGTTATGTTTCACTCACCTGTAATGTATACATATAACGTTTGTATGCCTTTTTATCGCTTTTAGCCGTCCATTTAGCTCAATAGGTAGAGCGTTGGACACGATTCCCGGACGGCGCAGGTCACTTTCGTTGTGATTGATCATGAAATCGGTCATTCGCACTGTACCTCTCCTTTTGCATGTACAGAAATAATCAGTTCCTTGCGAAAGTAAAGACAACTAGTACTGGTAAACTGCTTGACAGCCTGCCCAGGAACGATGCGGTGGCTGAACTGTGCTCTGGTTAATTCAATTTGGCTTACTGTCGTGATTCGGAGTAAAAACTAACACCACCACCACAACTTTTTTTTATCGCGGTCAGTCTGATCAATATGGACAGTAATTACAGTCTCCATTACTTAAAGAAAATTAAAGGGAAGATGGGAAATATTATTTTATAACTATACAATATTTTAGCGTACAATTATACATAAACTTACTTATACTAGCACAAACGTATGTATTACTAGCATATAAAATATAATTAAATCAAATAACTAAGAAGACATTGGTATTTAGACCACGTATTTTTTGTTCTAATTTACATGGTTTAAAGAGAACTATCAAGAAAATTCACAATTAAAATGGTTTCCTGCGGGAACACTTTTAATTATATAAAGATATTTCATTTAACTATTTTCAACATTGTTTTGGGAGAGGGGGATAAATAAACGTTTGTATCAGAAATATAGTTGACAATAGAAGAAGGTCTTTGGAAACTGTGACCGTTGATGACCGAAAAAAGTCGAACATAAAACAATTATTTCTTTTTAAGAAAATGATTAAATAGGCCTACCATTTTATGAATAATTCCAAGCAAAAAAAAAGTAAACACACAAGTTAACGCAGAAAATATCTCTATTTATTATATACTTACAAATGAAATATTGAGAAATATTGATGAAATAAAATGCGTATTTTCATTTTCCGTATTTTCACTGTAAAAATTTATTTTTCACTGCAGTGAAACATATTTTCCGTATTTTCACTGGTGTCTTGCCGGACTACTTTTTTTAAAATTCTGCCAGTACACAAAATTTAAGGGAAAGTCTTTCAAATTTTAATGTCAAAAAAGAGAAAAATGTATATAATAAACAGAAAATTCAAGTTTTGTATATAAATACATGATTTATTTTCATCTTGTGGCATGAAAATTACCATATTTCACTCGTGGCTACCGCCACTCATGAAATATTTATTTTCATTCCACTCGATAAAAATAAATCATGTATTTATAGACAAAACTTCAATATCCTCTATTTATTATGGCAGATGCCACTACAAATATTTTAATTTTGTACATTTTCAGTATAAACAATTTATTGTTTGAAAAATTTGAGATACATATATTAAAGAAACGATGATAATTATCAAATGCATCATTCAAGTTTTTCCACCTTAAACGGTAGAATAATTATAGAAAATAAGAAATATCACGTAATAGTTTTTTGTTCTTATTTAGGTGTAATTCTGACTAATTCCCTAGAGGTAATTCCGTAACGTACCGACAAACGGTATTTAGCCAGGATTTCTAAAAGGTCAATTAACCAATCGTGTACGGTTTACAGATCACATGCTCCTCCATGTACCGAAAACAGGTCACGTGCTCCTCCATGCCTCAAAGCCAGCCCGCATAGCTCAATCGGTTAGAGCGCGAGACTTGTAATCTCGACATTGTGGGTTCGATTCCCGGGCTGGCCAACTAAAATTACTAATCAGTCTTTCGGATGAGACTTTAAATCGAGGTCCCGTGTATGGGTGCTTAAACACTTGGCACGATAAAGAACCAGGAGAAGCTTCTGGAATTGGGGCATTTTTCTGTATCTGTAATTGCACTATCCTCCGAAAAATAAAATGACTAATACTCTTCTGGAGGGCTCGCCCATATGGGCAACCGGTGGCGAGTATAAATAAACGCAAATACACACAATCCATGCCTCAAAAGTTAAACGCGTACCAATACCCTGCGGTCTCCAGACAGCAGGGAATAAATGATGTCATACAAAAACCAATATAGCATTTAATGTCTTTACTGATCTCACCATGTTAAAGATACATTCAAATTAAGATAAATTTAAAACCTCAATAGTAATGTGAGTCTTACCCTTTGTCAGCAACTTCTTTTAAGAACCAAGGCTTGAAAATATGAACGCTACCATTTATCGCTAAAACCTGTTTGTTCAAATGAAAACAAGAAAAAGCAGAATGTCATTTTCAAATTCATGATATATGCATTAATTATAGTAGTTAACAATGTTTCATCTACTTATTTTTGGTATATGGAAGGTGTTGTGCCTAAACTTTCATTGAATGATGATATAGATTTGATTTCATAGCATGTATTATACACATTAAAACCTTTTATGTTTCCTATAAATTCATCAGAATAATTGCGATTGTATATTAAATCATATTTCAGACTTATGCAGAATTTAAAAAGTATTGACAATAGAACACAACATATCCGTGGTTACAGTGTGACTCAAATCAACGGACACTCATTGATCATTTAAGCAAGGCTTCTTAACATAAAAATGAAAGGTAAAAAATAAAGTATTCACGACTTTCATGATATAAAGATGGTTGGTAAATTACCACTTGTTGTTCCATGTACGTCCAGACAGACTGTATAAAACGGAAGGCCTCGTCTTTTACCAGTGACCCATGCGCATAACCCATCTCATATGGCGTTCCTACGTTGAATAAAATTAAATTTTAGTACAATGCAAGGAATTCGTATAAGTACCAAATGTCCGTCGTTTTCCGTGTCAAAATTAGACATGTTTATCATCGGTCATGTTTGAATATTTAAGAATAAGGATACGGAAAGTAACGGAATAGGACGACTTTTCACGAGCTTGTGATCTTAAGCAAAAGTAACTAAAGGCACATTATGCCTTAATCAAGAAATTGTTTTAGAATTGATTGTAAAACGGAAGATGTTCATTCAATACACTGAACTAGGAAAAAAACCTTTTTACATGTCAGAAGAATATGTTTAAATAGTGAAGTCTAAATAGTGACAATTAATGATTTCAGGAATTTTGTATTTTGTGACGGCATTTTGTCCAGAATAAAGACAAAGAGTATTTACCCCAAAGATGGACAACGTTAAAGGCATCCTGCGCTTCCCCTGCAACGTAAAGTTTGCCATTTTTCACTTGACGTACAAACCTTGTTTCTCCGTGAAATACTGGGTTCAAATTTTGTTTAGCGTTAAGGTCAGGCTGGAAAGTAAAATCGGCTGCTATAGACATACACTAAATACAAAAGTGTGCTTTAGAGAATCTAGTATTTCAATAGCAATATATAGAGTTGCGGCATGACCGAATGGTTAACGCGTCGGACTAGTAATCTAAGGATTGCTGACCGTGTATCAAAGGAAAGCCTTTGTTTTCTTGATCAAAACACTGTACATTCATTGCTTAGTACTGGTTGGTTCAAGGAACGGATTCGAGAGTGTTTCAATAAGCTTATAGGCTCCAACACAATCGAACTGAAGTAACTTTGTATAAACCAAACTAATAGCAATATATCGGTAACGTGACGGGATTCGTAAATTATTATTCTCGCCATTATTAAAATTTAAACTGAAATCTGGCTTACATGCTCTAGCTGAGTTTGTTTGATTGGGTTTAACGGCGACATTGACACATTACTGGTCATACGGCGCCCAACACTTTAATAAGTAGGCCTTACAATAGTTGTTACAAGTAAATAAGTTAAAACTTATAATACAAGTTAACTTGCTTTAAGTAACCAATGGAACTGAGTTTAAAAGTTCTCTAAGTGAATTGACTAGAAACAACCTATCACGAACATGTGTAAGATCAAGATCATTACATTCAAGAATGAAATGAGCCGCGTCACGACAAAACCAACATAGTGGGTTTGCGACCAGCATGGCTCCAGACCAGCCTGCGCATCCGCGCAGTCTGATCAGGATCCATGCTGTTCGCTTACCAACTCTATTACAAGTAGAGAAACTGATAGCGAACAGCATGGATCCTGATCAGACTGCGCGGATGCGCAGGCTGGTCTGGATCCATGCTGGTCGCAAACCCACTATGTTGGTTTTGTCGTGACGCGGCTCATTAATGTTCGACAGTAAAATATTCATTACAAGCTAGACATAATGGAGTATCGTCTACTGTTAAAAAGTAAGAATGTGTAACTCTAGTATGTCCAATTCTACATTTCTATTTTTATTTACGGTTGCAACCATTTTGCCAGTAAAACGTTACATGCGTTTAATGAAAATCTTATGTCTGCCTCATTTTAATATTAGTTATAAGTTATAGTAACATTTATGTGTCAGCTAACATTGTTTCTAATCTTTTATCACCACTTTAACGATTGTTTACTGAGAGTTTAACTAATTGTTTATATCATATTTCGTATATTATCAGTAACAAAGTGTAGAAATAATATTTACCTTGCCATGACAATATGCAGTTTGTGCTGGAGTATACAGAAACACAAAAACACACACTAACGTTTGTAAAATTAACGCCATTGTTACGGTATGTCAATCTTCAAGGTCATTGGTCAGCTTATCATTAAGCAGATAACGCTGTCCCAAATAGTGTCCCATACCTCAAACATTACGCAACTAATTTAAAAATCTCAATGTAATTCTTTAATATTTGATTGTATATTATTTGTAGTCAATTTTTGGAAAACAGAATCCCTTAAGAAAGCCCAACACGGCAAAATTTAAAATGTTGCAGGCTCGGTTTGATTGAGCCTGTTTATTGACGGTAATGGAAGCTGCAAGTTACCGTCCACGCCCCCTTGCACCGACAGAATTCAACATTCAAACACGAAAATTGTGAAATTTTGAATTTAGAAACAAATGTGTTCATACGGCGGCATTAGACAATTATGCACCATTTTTATGTCATCCATTGGAAACCTAAAATCAACAAAGGGAGATAATCTGTTTTAACGGTTGCTAAAATAGGTTTTAAATATGTGTTGTAATATTTTTTTTACCCTGCTAGAACTAAGAGATGCAAAGACTCCAGTTATTCTAACCAATTTAGTTGCCTCCTACAATCACACGGGGATAAACGGGGGCTGCAATTATTATGCCTACGACATTAAGCCGAAGGTGGGGACATAGATCAGCAAGGACACAAAAAATGAAAAATATGATGCAAAATAAATAAATAAATAAATTTGAGTTAAAAGCGTTTATGCGCTTTTTATTTTAAGGTCTTTTTGCAACAAAAATATCCTGGCAAAACAGAGTAAACTAATGATCTGGAAATTGTTTCTATAGATCTTCTCCAAGTGGTAAAAATCTTGAGGAAAAAATCCACTCCAGTTACGTCAACAGAAAAACTCTCAGTGGAGAGCCACTTTCAATAAAATAATAAATACAAACCATCTTTTTTTAAATTGTATTATTTTATTAGTATAGGAAACTTGCATGCACTTTATAAACATCTTTAAAAAACATATTTTTTAAAGAGATTTTTTTTTATTTTAAATAGATTTTCCGGTCTGTCAGGATCATTTATTTTAGTACATTAAGTGTAGAGGTTTGAATAACGGCTTTAGCCAGTGAAATGGACGTAAGGGATGTTGCACCATTATACTATTATTCCTCCCAGAACTCCCTCTCTTACTGTAGCTGTTATCATAAGTATTTTATCCTTATTATTATGATATTATTGTTATTGTTAGTCATCTTATTCTTTATTCACCACCATTTTGCTAATTTTTTTCGAACGAAATCCGTCTGAAAACGGGTTGACTTCAACTAAGTTACTTCTTCATCGTAGTTCAATTTGTTCAACTAACAACTGAGAGTCCTTCGCAGCTGCTTGCATTAAAGATAAAGGGTTGATACGTTTGTGTTATTCCGATTTGAAATATGTTATAATACCTAATATATGTATTTGATCTTGATATTGATATGATAACGTAACTGCCAACATGATAACAACATTTGTGAATAAAAATGTAAATACAAGAAACATGCACACAATTTAAACAATACTGCAAACCACAGGGGGCCCACACAGTGTTTGGATGGTATACACTGCTTGATAGTGACCTTAAAATGAGATTTTAGTCATAACCTTATAATATGTATATAAATATAGACGTCTATATTTATATACATATTATAAGGTTATGACTAAAATCTCATTTTAAGGTCACTATCAAGCAGTGAATACCATCCAAACACTGTGTGGGCCCCCTGTGCTGCAAACGGGAGAAGTCCATTTTATATTTGTTTCATAATTCATTTTCAACGTTTGAAAAAAGTCTTTCATCAAATGATTCAGCAAGAGCTGAGCTTACATTTTTCATGTATACATAGAAATCCCAAAATAAACAATGCAAGTAAAAGCTAGTTTATCTGTGTTAGTTAATGTATAAAATCGGTGAAAATTTTGCCATGGTCATAAAGTAGGTAGACACCGTGTAAACAATAACAGTGAAGTGTGTATGGGACAGGTCACATCAATTAAACTGCATTCGTGGTTTATCTATCTTAGCCGACAGTTTACTTTTGTCAGAGAAAACAAATGGTTCTTTAATAAATGTGTCAGAATATTACTGTCATAATAAAAATAGCTGTATTTACAAATTTATAGTAAATAAACTGGGAGTTCATAATTTGTGACGAGAGTTTATATTTAAGAACGGTGTTACGGTCAACATTAACCATGTCAAATTGTCTGGCCCTAGAATTCAGTGAGGATGGAATAACTACAATACGAATGAAGAATGGGGAGAACAGATTTCAGTTAGCAACAATAGACGAGTGGAATAAAACCCTAGACAAAGTTTTACAGTAAGAAAGCTTTGCTTTTTAACAAGTTAAAATACATTAGTAAGCATGCACGTTGTAATTGTTTCAATATTACATTGATACAGTCATACTGCGTAAATTTTGTTAACAACCGTTGGAAACGCGAAGGAACAGGCTCCTTCAATGTATTATGGTTGACATTGAATATATGATGGATTGACATTGAATATATAATAGATTGACATTGAATATACGATAGATTGACATTGAATATATGATAGATTGACATTGAATATATAATAGATTGACATTGAATATATGATGGATTGACATTGAATATATGATAGATTGACATTGAATATATGATAGATTGACATTGAATATATAATAGATTGACATTGAATATATGATAAATTGACATTGAATATATGATAGATTGACATTGAATATATAATAGATTGACATTGAATATATGATAGATTGACATTGAATTTATGATAGATTGACATTGAATATATGATAAATTGACATTGAATATATAATAGATTGACATTGAATATATGATAGATTGACATTGAATGTATTCATGTACATTGTACTTTATTAATGTGTTTATTGTTATAATTATATAATTAATGGTTAAATTAACAGTCGACGGCCTGTACAAGTATAAATTTGATTAACTACGTATTTCCTCACTTGCGATTTTCTATATGTTTCTCTAATGTAGAAATGAAGACACAAAGGCATTGTTTATAACTGGTGAGGGAAAATTCTTCTCCAATGGAATAGATTTGCAATGGCTGGCCGTTCAGAAAGGAGACACACCACGTGTTTTTATAACGAGCTTGCAACGGCTGTTATCACGTGTTCTGGTTCTACCAATTCCTACTGTAGCTATATTAAATGGTAAATTAGTACCTGATTTACTAATATACATATCATTTAGGATGTGATATACATGAAATGACAGTCCTCAATTCATGTGTGCATAAATTTTCTATTCTTTGAGGTAATTGCTGAAATAAAGAAGACGTAAAACAAACTTTGCTTTCTACTACCTAAAAAAGAATTAATTAATTATATCAAATTATTTATGTTGAAAATTCATTTATACATATCTGAGAGAAAAGAGAAAAAATATGTCCAAAGCTTATTTTGATTAAATGATTTTAAACAAAATGTAATAGTGTAGATTTTTGACGTTGTTCATGAAAACACATAAAACACCAACTAATGATAATCATTATGAAAAAGGTTATTTATTGTACATTATAGGTCACGCTTTCGGAGGCGGTGCTTTTCTAGCGCTAGCATGTGATTTCCGTATAATGAGACCGGACAAAGGTTGGTTAAATTGGCCTGAAACAGCAATTAATCTCCGCTTTGGTGAACCTCTTTTAAAGTTGGCAAGGTAAATATGTAAATATATTTGAAGTGTGTACGTCTGGGTGTAGGGGTGGGCAATATTTTGTTAGAAGCGTTAGACATACGACTTACCTTAAATGATCACAAATTGATCACCTTGATCATAGTTTTGTTATTTTCATGTATATCTTTTTCTATATGGTTTGATCTTATCGGAAATGAAGCTGAATTTTATTAAAGTTTAAAAGAACGCTTGTTTTATTGTTTTGAAATTTTTTTTATTGTTTGCTCACTTTTTGTATGTGTAATTCTACTTTAAACATTTTGTTGGTGCCGTATAAGAAATTTTACTTTAAACATATTTCAGAACTAAAATTCCACCTGGTGTCGTTCAAAGAGAAGCTTTATTATTTGCAAAGCGTCTATCAGGAGAACAGGCCAAGCGTCTAGGCTTAGCAGATGAAGTCGTGGAGGAATCAAAGATGGCCGATGCTGCCAAAAAACTTGTTAAGGAAGCACTAGGTCGTAATGGCTTAGGCAGACAAATTCTTCAGGATATGAAAAAAGACATTTATGGAAAAGAACTGGACTTATCGAAATTATAATTTTTTTAAATTTCATCTGGACAATGTGTGCAATATGAAGAAAAAAAGAACTACAATAGCATTTATTGTTTCCGGTCAATACGAAGATTTAAAAACTCGGTTCATACAAACATTCCAAAAGTCTGTTCACACTACAATTACTTCACTTAAAAATATATCATTTTTATGAACATATTTATATTTATTTCAAAAACAGATGCCTTTTCTTTTTACTATGAATACCGTAGTAGCTGTGTCGAAAACATATACATGTACTGTACAAAAAAGTTCCACTGATTTATAAAACAAATATGTTCATATATGTCTATATATTACATGTACATACATTTATACATTAACGACTTATTATATTTGTATTTATTAACAAATACTATAGAAGGAATAAAACACAAGTAAAATTCTGTATGATGTTTGAAATTAAGTCATTACATGTATTTACAGTGAGACACATGTATATACATTTTAAAACGTTACGATCTAGAGTCAATGTAAAAGGTAAATAGATCTTAGACTCGTTGGTTAGGTTTTGCAAAGTCCTCATTTAACCCTTGCTGGTCAAGTGTCTTTTGCGATATAAACATAGCAAATTCAGTATAAATCATATGTCAGATCAAGATACTGTATTTTAGCGACAATAACCACACGTTCAAGGACGATCTGAAATTTGACTTAAGTTAAATGGAAGGTTTATACTGAACATATTCAGTGCAGTGCGTCCTGTCTTATACACCTAGTATTAGGGTCAATATTTAGATCGTAAGTTGAAGGTATATATAGAGATAAACAATGAATAAAGTGACATAAATCACTTCCGTACCCTTTTATGTACACGGATTACTAATATTCCGTTATCATTTACATACAGATTGAAATATAAATAAGAATGTTTCAAACATAATTATCTAATATATTGATGGTATTACTTAAATTTTAAAAGCAATGGCGGAAGGACTAAAAATGGTGACGTCAGGTGATGGAATAGCGACGGTGCACATGTGTAATGGGGAGAATCGATTCCGGATGTCGTTTGTTAAGGCGTGGATGAAAATACTAGATGAAATAGAAAGGTAACGTAAACAACGCTACGTTTCTATATAGTCCATTTTTTATCATTTTAATTAATGAATTATCATGATGTTTAATAAAATATACCTTGCGATCATTAAAACCAGGTTTCAGAATCGACTTAATTGAGCAGTCTATTGTAGGCTGTTTGATAGTAGTCAAAATTATATTATCATGCTAAACTTTTTATATATTTCTCTATAAAAGTGCATCTTAAACCTGGCAGGATACGAGGTAAAATCTAATAACGACAAAAATAGTTTCAAACATACTAGTTAACTTGTCAAACTATGTTAGAAATTATGCTCATGAACTGTGTTGTGCTTATAACTTGACTACTTAAAAGTAGACACAGTCGAAACGCCTCGATTTTTATTCAAAATAATCTCGGAGTTGATGCGAATTGTAAAAATGTTCTACCACGTGAACAGAGAGTGTACTCTTTGTAAAATGATAACGACTGTATTTATTTTTCATCCAACGGATCATTGAAAAATATTTCCGAAAATCAAAGTCATTAAAAATGCCAATTGTCAACCAATTAAAACTAAATCCAAAATCATGTCAACAAGAATACGGTTTGTACTTAAGGTTCATAAGCATACACAAATATTTATTACAAGAAAAACTATAAATTCAATTAACTTAGATAAATTATATTAATTAAGTAGACTTAACACGATATGGTGAAAATAATACTATAGCTCAATAAGACCCAACATTTACATACTATTTGTTTACATGTTTAGTTTGTGTTTAGTTAGTTAGCGTATGACATGCTATTGTGTTCGAGGTCCTCCGAAGATTGACGGAAAGGGCCGAAAAGTGGCGAATGAAGTAGACCGTGTTAAGTGTTCTTTATTTCATTCATATATCTTGACTTTCGCTATTTTAGGAACGATGCTATTAAAGGTGTAATCATAACAGGAGCTGACAATTTCTTCAGTTTGGGACTGGATGTTACTTTTCTGAGCGCACAGACGCCAGAACATCTAGCAGAAACACGAGCCAGTATAAGACAATTCTACAAACGCCTTACATTGTTGCCAGTTCCCACTGTTGCTGCCATAAATGGTAATTTGTTTCGTTTGAATACCAGCCTAGCTTTGAAATGTTGAAATACTTACATCAAGTAAACTTAAACTTGAATAAATCTTAGATATCTACATAGATTTTAAATGTTTGAAAATAAAGATATCTAAAATGGTGAAATATTTAACGCTTAAATTTTGAAATAGTTAAATCTTAACTATGTTTAAAGCCTTAAATCTAATATGTTGAACGAGTTTATATGTTAAATATCAAGTTCACTATGAATGACAAAGGTATAAGAAAAAAAATATATGAAGGATAAAAAACGGCAAAAAACCCCCCAAAAAACCACACACACACGCATGCGCACGCACGCGCACGCACACACGCAATCAAAGAAAATAGAAGACGTGTTAGGTTATTATACTAACATTGAATCTGATTACAAGAAATTCAGCGGCCATAACTATTACTTTTAGTTTAAACATATTCAGCTTGATTGTGAGGTAATAAGTTTTGCAATTTATTTTTATCATCTTCGATCCAAATTGCTGAAACTCTTAGTGACCTGTAACGGTTTTATATTACGCCCTTTGTTAAGCGGTAGGTACATTTAACCGGACTCCTACCAGCAGCCGCCTGTTAATTAATACAATTATAATATCATTAATATTATAAGATATAAAATGATTTTATATTGGACTTACCCTTGGAAAACTGAGTATAATTATATATTAATTATCTCATATAGCAAAATGGTGTTTGTTCGGTCTTCCCCGTGTTTATGACAATCATTTTCAAAGCATTTTGAATGACTTTGCAATATAGAATATTATCTTCTGTTTTATAATAGGTCATTGTTTTGGTGCCGGCGCATTCCTAGCATTGGCATGTGACTACAGGGTGATGCGCTCAGACCGAGGATGGTTGTGTTGGCCGGAAGTTGCTTTGAACATGCGCATTCATCAAAGTAATATTCATTTACTAAGGTAACATTTTAATTGTTTTCGTTTCAAATATAACTTTTTAGAAAAATCTTTTATAAATGATTTTTTCGCCTTCGTGAAAATGACTTGTAATGTCTTTGTACACGCTTAATCGGTGTATTTGCTTGCATTTTTCTTTGCAGAATAAATATGGAATATAAAGAAGCTTTTTATATATTTTGAAATATTCCAAATTAATTCGACTGTTATCTACATAATATTTTTTTTTATAAAATAAACCTTAAGAAGAGCAAAAGAAAGAAATCAACTTACATGTTCATGTTGAAACATATTTTTTTAGAATATATATCAATATATATATCAATATACGTATATATAACGTTATATATATAACGTATATTTTTATAACTATATCATGTTATTCAACTTCTGTGAAGATATACAGCTTTAAAAACACTTCATTTTCATTTAAGCTGTGAAGCATACTTTTTTTTACTAAATATTAAATATCATTATTCTATGATTATTTTTATAGGATGAAAGTTCCTTCTGGAAAATCACTACGTGATGCGGTATTGTTTGGTAAACGTTTATCTGCACGTGACTCTCGCGATTTACAGCTTGTGGACGTCATTTCGTCACAGCAAAGTTTGAGTGATGATGCTACAAAGTTGCTTTTTGAAGTTCTTGGTAAAAATGGAATCGACAGAAAGTCGTTAAAACAAACGAAGGAGGACATTTACTGTTTCCCTGAACATCTTTTTGTCGAAAGTACCGCAAAATTGTAATAAAGCGATGTATTATTATTTCTAATTATCTAAACGTATGTTTCAAACGGACGCAAAAGTACACGTTATTAATATGCGTTAACATGCATAATAAAATATATCAAGATCGTTTTTATAGAAGTTCAGAACTATTTAGGTTTTTTAGTACCAGTCCCTACTGAAAACGAATTCTACACAGTACTTGACATACAAAAGAGGTAGCTATTTTCCTTTTTAGCTCACCTTGCACAAAGAAACGAAAGTGAACAAAACATGTTGTTTTTTTCCACAATAATTAGTTGATTAAGATAAAAGTTTAATTTACAGTACGGATATTACTTTTTGTATCCTTCCGGTTTGCGGGAAAAATCATATCTACACCGCTCCTACTGATGAACGAATTATGTCATAATATTTCATTCTGAGAACAAACATACGATTCAAATCATTAAATAATGCATACCAATCAGTCCAAAAAAAACTTTGCCTCAGAAAACATCTGTATCAATCTGACCTAGAGTTGAGATTATAAATTATACTGAACCGGAAGTACATGACGAAACGTCCGCCAATCAAGAAAATTGAGAAATTTTGTAACATAAACTCGTATTTCATAACATAGAAGTGAAGATGGATACAATTATCGGTGTGCTTCGTTGAAATAGGTATTTTGTTAACTATTTGTGAAGTATTAAGGCATGACATTCAGTATTTATGTAAATATCACCTCCCGACGTCCCGTGTTATGATTAATAAAATTCATGTACATGTTGACCTCAATAAATGTAAGTGAAAATGGAACAATAATTATGGTAATTATCCATGGTGCTAGTAATACTTAATTATCTTTATCATATTGTTAACTAAGCAAGAAAATTACGTAATTTTAGAATAACTTAACCTCACAATATAATCAATTTAAGCTTGAAAATCTTCCCAAACAGTAATTTTTGAATTCATTTTTGAAACATGAAAATGGTTCATGTAGAGAAATAAGAGAAGAAAAAACTGAATTGACTCATGAAAATTTTGGTCAAACAGTCTGCCACGTGAAATTCTGACCTTCCTGAGATCCCTGCTGTTTATTGTTGCTGTTTTTTTTAGAAAGAGTGTTCTAATATGATAAACAACAGATGCTGGGGCGAACATGATACCCCTGAGGTACCACTATCAAAAAACATTTTAATATTTAAACACTAATGGGATATCTGTTACAACTATAATACTGTTTTTCGAAAAAAATTTACATATATGAAAAAAAATACTGTTTACCATCATGTATTGAGACTTGATTCCGGGCAGGCAGGCGAATTGGTTGGGCCATTTTTCGTAACAGTTCTCAGCAACTACTTATCAGAGCCTCATGATATTTAGTATGCAGCACTAACACATTGTCCCATACCAAGGGATTCGATTTTAGGTCTGTCGCTCATCCACTTCATGTTTACTGACTTAGTTAAATTCACAATAATGGTCAATGGTACGAATTTTTCGTAACAATTTTCTTATAAGTTAAATTCATAATAATGGTCAATGGTACGAATTTTCGTAACAATTTTCTCAGCAACTACTTATTACAGCCTCTTGATGTTTGGTATACATCATTGATATGATTTCAGGTATGTGGCTCATCCACTTTCAGTTTTCTGACCTAGTGAAATTTTCGGCATTAATTGTAAATGGAAGGAAATTTCCGTAACAGTTTTCTTAGCAACTACATATCACAGCCTCTTGATATTTGGTATTGTGACTGCAAAGTTCAGGTCTATCGCTTATCCACTTCCTGTTTACCGACTTAGTTAAATGTTCGATATTAATGGTCAATGGTAGGAAATGTTTGTAACATCACAGCCTCATGAGTCATGTTATTTGGTATACAAATGCAACCCGGGACCAATTTTTATTGAAGTATTATCCAAATTTGTACTCTGTCTTGTTAATTATGATGTCATTGTTAAAATTTTCATGATGTAAACACGCTACAGGGAGTGTCTTTTTTTAGCAACCTGTACTTTAAAGAAAAGAAAAAAAAGGTACCGTATTTCTATACACTTGTTAGCAATCTGTTGCTGTCGACCAAAAATACATTACATTTGACACTAACCTTTAAATAAAATTAAAGAATTTTATAAACCTGTTGCTTGTTTTTAAAAAGAAAAAAACTTTATAAGATCTATTCCTTAAGGTGAGCGATATAGGGCCATCATGGCCCTCTTGTTTGATAAACATGCTTGGTTTTTATCCATACTTTTTTCATGAAGTCATGCTGTTTATTTAATTCTGACAACTTTTAAAAGATTTTCATGTTGTTCGGGGTACTTTGATTTCTACATGATACTACATATTTGCTTGATAAACAAATTACAACCGCATGCAAATGCTTACCTACGGCTCACATTCATTGAATAAAGTAGTTTCGAAAAGCTGCTGCTAATACTTATAATTCAGTTAATAATGAAGATTTGTGTACACTTTTCACCACTTGTTTTTAGTGATATTTTGTAAAATTTGTTAAGCAGAAAATAAATTACATAAAAGTTTTCAAGTTGAAAATATCACTTTAGCAACTTTCATTGCAATGAAGTCGATTGCAGTGATGTACGATTTTTTTGAGAGTGCCATTTTTGCCGACACAAATAGTATGTCCATGTACATTCAAAAGAATTGTTACTTTTATGCTTTAACATGTTTTTTTAAATTACATAGATTAATATTTTTTCATTGTTTTAGCTACACTTAAATCAAAATCAAAATAGTATTTATTCAACCAGTTTCTTCAGTATCTTGTGCAGCCGTTTTTCGAAACTTCTTTATTCAATGAATGTGAGCCGTAGGTAAACATATGAATGCGGGTGTAATTTGTTTAGCAAGCAAATATGTCAAATTTTATGGAATTTATTGCGAGCGAAGCCGAAGGGGTTGTTCTATAAAATTTTATATAGACCAATAACTTGCTTACAGTTTGTCACTTACGCACGTCGGCATCGTCCTCTGAAGTCTGGTTAAGATTGCCCTTTTATTTTGATTGGCACCTCTAGCGCCGAAAAAGATGTCTAATGCCTGTCAATCAAGTTGTCACGAGACTTTTTTTTGAACACGTACAGTTCAAACAAGTGTTATTCAAGCAAATGGCTAGCAAAGCACATTTTAATTTATTGGAGATAAAGATTTTTTTGTGAAATTCGCAGTTTTGAGGAGTGCAATATACTGTTCAGTAAAGGGTATTAATGATGTCACTGTGTCGCAACACACAACAAAGTTATGACGAAGGAAACAAGGAAAATTAGTAATTTCCATTTACTAGGTAATAGTGCCATCAGTTTGAATAATTACATTTAAAGTATGTTAAAACTGTGCAATGAAGACGTTTTGAATGGAAGAATTTTTATTTATGCGCAAATGGATGACCTACACTCACATTTCAGATCGATCTGAGAAGCCACTTTAAATACCTCTTGGCCAAATTTAATGAAACTTGGCAGGTATGTTCCTTGCATGAAGCTCTACCAAAAGTTGTTAAAAGAATTAAATTCCTTGAAGAGTTTTTTTTTATTAAAATCTTAAAAAAAATTCTTGTCAAAAATCAGAAGGTAATAGAGCCTTGATATTTGGTACGTAACATGATCAAGTGGTCCTTTACAAAGATTGTTTAAATTATACCCAAAGGTTCAAAGGGGCCCACTATGGGGTTCACACGATTTTAAAAAAAAAGTCGTTTAAAAATCTTCTTGTCATAAACCTACAACTTTAATATTTGGTATGTAACATCATCTAGTGGTCCTCTACAAAGATTGTTCAAATGATAACCCTAGGATCAAAAGGACCTTGTCAGGGGGCTTATCGGATTGATATAAAGTTATATAGGTTAAATCTTCTTGTCAAAATTCACAAGGTGAAGAGCCTTGATATTTGGTAAGTATCATGATCTAGTGGTTCTCTATAAAGAGTGTTCAAATTATGCCTCTAGGAAGGAATAGGGCCTTGCGGGGGGGGGGGGGGGGGGCTTATCGATTTAAAAAAGAAATTATTAAAAAATTTCTTGTCAAAAACCACAAGGCCTACAGCTATGATATTTGGTATGTTATATCATCTAATGGTCCTCTACAAAGATTGTTCAAATTATGACTCTAGGGTCAAAAGGGGGCCTGTCAGGGAGCTTGTCAACTTTATATAAAGTTATATAAGAAAATCGAAAATCTTAAAAAATCTTTTTGTCAAAACCCAAAAGACGTAGAGTCTTGATTATTGGTATGTGATACAAAGAATTGTTCAAATTATGCCCCTTGGAACAAAAGTGGCTCTGTCAGGGGACTCATCAGGTTTATATAAAGTTATATAGCCTAGAGAAAATCATCTTGTCAAAATCCACAAGGCGCCTTGATAATTGGTATGTAACATGATCTAGTTTTCCTATTAAAAGATTGTTCAAATTATGAACCAAGGGTCGAAAGGGGCCCTGCAAGGGGGCTCCTCAGTTTTATAAAAAGTTATATAGGGAAATCTTAAAAATCTTCTTGTCAGAATCCACAAGGCGTAGAGCCTTGATGGTTGGTATATAACATAATCTAGTGGTCCTCTTAAAAGATTGTTTAAATAATGCCCCTAGGATGAAAAGGGGTCCCCGCCTAGGGGCTTATTAATGTTAAGCTCACCTGTCACAGAGTGACAAGGTGAGCTTTTGTGACACCGTGTTGTCTGTCGTCCGTCGTCTGTTTCGTATGTTTTAATGTTTCAATGCATAAGGTTATATTGCATGTTGCTTGTATTTAGTTTCCAATGACAACCAAACAATAGTGATAATTAAAAATCTGGTTTCGTGGCGTTGCCATGTTTCTTGTTAATCATTATAGCTCTGTCGGACCGTATTTGGTACAAAAACGAATATGGTACAAATTTGTACCATATTCGGCCGAATATGGTACAACTGTCTAATTGTACCATATACGTATCTGCAGTTTTGGGGTAAAATGCCTGACCAAATATGGTACAAACTTGTACCATATTCGGATGAAAAATGTACCACATTCGTTCCGAATATGGTACACACTCATCATCGTCATCATCATCATCATCATCATCGTTATCTCATCATCATCATCATCATCATCATCATCATCATCATCATCATCATC